CCAGCTCACACCATGGAAGCTTGTCACCCTTCATGGAAACCCAAGGTCACTTCATATGGGGCCATGGCTTTGGCCATCACCACACTGGAGGCATTTCCTGGCATGTGGATCAATGCTTTCATCGTTTGTGTGCTTTGCATTGCCTGGGTCCAAAAGAAAACCCTGAATTCTAATGAGAAGATCTTGCTGCTGCTGGGATTCTCCAGGTTTTGGTATTTGTGCTTCTCATGGGTATATTGCTCCCTTTCAGTAACTTATCCCAACTACCTTTTTGTTCAACCCACATTTCAACTCATTGTACTTTTTCAGACCTTTTCTAATTGTTCCAGCTTGTGGGTTTCTGCCTGTCTTTGTGTTTTTTATTGTATAAAAATTGCCAATTTCAGGAACAGCTTCTTCATCTACCTGAAAGTAAAAACAGACAGGATTGTGCCTTGGCTTTTGTTGGCATCATTGCTGTCAGCCTTGGCTATCAGCATCATTGCCTATGACATCGCTGTTACAGAGCTCAGTATCAACCACAATTCCACTGGGCAAGGGAATTTTTCAAAAGTTAGTGGCAAAATGGGTGAAATTTTTTTCCAGATATATTTTACCTATGGCTTTGGATTTGTCATATCTTTCACAGTAGTCATGTCTTCTACCCTTCTCCTTCTCTTTTCTCTCTGGAGGCACAAATGCAAGATGCAGAAAAACTCCATGAACAGCCTCAGCATGGATGCCCACATCAAAGCCATGAAATCTATTCTCTCCTTTTTTATAATGTATAGTATTAACTTTATATTTTTGATTCTGTCACTAATTCCTTCAACAAAGGAAGAAAAATATGTGGCACTTCTTAGTTTAATATTTCTGTACGCTTTTCCAGGTGTTCATTCCCTTATTGTGATTTTCAGCAATCCCAAACTGGAAAAGATGCTGATACGGATTATATCCTGTGTCAAGTGCAAGGATTGCATGAAGTAGGAAGTGTAATAAAAGCTTGAGCCCACATAAAATCTTGATATTTCATTATAAGACACAAGTCAATTTATCTCTAGGGCAACTCTCTGGGCAGTGTAGATGATACAGATGTTCTTTCTTTAGCACTGAAGTTAAGAATAAATATTTCAAATTCTTTGAACCAAATGAGTATGAATTAGATTATTGCTAGTACTTCATTTTGGTAATTCTTTGAGTTCAATTCTTGTCAATAACAAATTCATTTAGATCTGGTATGTGGGCTGGTTACAAAGGGGCAATAGGTGTACTGCAAATCATCCTCAAGTGCTTTGGCAATTGCTGATTGAAAAATTACTGTACTCAGCATCAGGTTTATTTGTGTTTGGGTTTATATTTCTTTCTGCTGTATCTCTGTTTTTTGCAATATTATCACTTGTAACACTGGGTGGGGTGGCTCTATCTTGAAGAACTTGCAGTCTGAGGAGCACCCATATTGGAGACATCTGATCCTGAAGGACTGCAGACCTCAGATGGGATCCACACTCTAGCAGGGAAGACAGAGTGAAGAGGAAGGGGTGGAAGAGAAAACTTTTTATGGACTGACTGCAACCCCTTTTCAATGTCACCCTGCACCACATCAGGGAGGAGGTGGAGAAGCTGGGAATGAAAGAGTGAATTTTGAGCTGTGATGAAGAAGGGTGGAAGGACAGTTCTCTAGTTTTGTGCTTGTTCATCACCATCCTACTCTATATTCAAACAGCAATAAATTATATTAATATTTTGAAATTTGAGTCTGTTTTCTCCATGACAGTATGTCCTGGGGTGACGTTATGATGCTTGTATCCCCATTCATATGTTCTGTGCCTTTAAGACTTCTCTGAAGAATGAAAATTTTGTTTGGGTTTCTCTTATCAGGGACACAGAGACGGGCAGTAAATAGGGCTGTTTTTGCTTTTTGATTTCTGCTTTGCTCGCTCTCTCTTTGCTCTCGCTTTTGCTTGCTTTTGCTTCTGCTTATTAGCTAGTTCTAGCTAAACAGTCCAAATTCCTTCCTGGACTATTTCTCTTCTCCTTTTTCTTCAACCATCTCGAACCCGCTCCGGACTGGGACCTGGGAACACTGAGGGTTTGCACCCTTAGGTGCAAATCAGATTTTGGTGCCGCTGCTGTGGGCACAGGGCAGGTGCAGGGATGTAAATGAGGGTTTGCACACCGTTTCGCCTGCAGCAGCTGCCCCAGTGCCGGAGGGACTGAGAACAGAGCAACCACCCCCAAAAGAGACTTTCTGATTTTGTCATCTTTTTCAGAGCGATGTCATCTGGTATTGTTCATTTTGTATGCTGGGGGGTGCTGTGCCTGTTCAATAAACAGGTTATTTCCACTTCTCTCTGAGGAATTCTTCCCGAACCGGTTGGGGGGAGGGGCCGTGTGGGTTTGCTTTCTGGAGGGGCCCTCCTTTGGAGATTCTCTACCAAATTTGCCCTAAACCAGGACACAGTAACTGATGGGTGATCTCCCCATCTTTATCTCAACCCATGAGCTTTTCCATATTCTATTTTCCCTCTTGACCTGTTGCAGAGCAAGAGTGAAGAAGAGGCTGGGTGGAGGGTCTGGCAGGTGTCCAAGTTTAACAATCCACAGCAGGTCATGTAAAATTAAATAATTCCAACATCAACAGAACAGAATCTAACTGTTAATTTCTTTCACCAGCTCTGGCTCAGAGGGACAATTTACTCCATACTCAGTGCCAGGTGTGTATTTTTCATATTATCACCTTCAAAAAGATTTGCTCCTATTCATGAAATGAGAGAAACTACGTTTTAAACCACAGTAACATCTTAATCACACAATATTTCCTTTTCCCAAGACCTCACAGTCTCTCTACAGAGGGTGGCAGGTACAAAGTCTTGGTTAATCTCTCCCCTTCTCCAATGACACTGGAGGGGATGGCTTTGAACTAAAAGCAGACCCTGGGTTTTAAAGACCAAATCCACACATTCCATGCATTGAAAATCTGGTATTTGAGACTCTGATTTTATATTATTGTGTTTTCAAAAGGCCAGATTCCCCATGCAGAGCTGAGCCCAAAATTCAGCCATGTGTGGTCCTGCACAGTCCCAGCACAGACAGTTCAACTATATACAGGTTGTAATAGAAATAACTTCTATTCACAAAGATATGGAGAGGAGAAGAAAGAAGCAAGCAAACAAACAAGGAAAAAAACCCCAACAACCACACAGAGTGTTTTCAATTAATTCACAAAAAGAGGAAGAAACTCACATCAAAGCCTTAAGCAGAGAACAGGCATTATCAGGAAATCAAAAATTCCCTCAAAGCATATATTCTGCCCATCAAAATGTAAAAAAAAAAAAAAAAAAACAAATAAATAACATTTTAAAATTAATGCAATCAAAAATAAAATTGGACATAGTAGGTGACAAAGGAATAGAAGAACTCAGATCCTCAAGCCTGACACTGATCAAACAGGGATCAGTCTCAAAATCAAAACACTGCAGAAAAACACCTCTGCTGTTTGTGTCACCCAGCACAGCCCCCCCAAACCGACATTCAAATAGTCAAGAGTGGCCCCGGGTAAGGGGATACCCAGCACATTTACATCCCTGCACCTGCCCTGTGCCCACAGCAGCGGCACCAAAATCCCCCCCAGCAGCAGCAGCAGCAGCAGCAGCTCTATAAAGCTNGGATACCCAGCACATTTACATCCCTGCACCTGCCCTGTGCCCACAGCAGCGGCACCAAAGCCCCCCCAGCAGCAGCAGCAGCAGCTCTATAAAGGTCTTCTTGCCATCCCTGACACTCCACCAAGAGCAGCCACTGACCTGCCTCAGGCTCTGCTGCCACAGCCCCCTTGGCCAGCACAGCTCTGATCACCAGCCCACACCATGGAAGCTTCTCCTTTCACACAGCAATCCAATGTCACTGCATACGGACCCATGGCTTTGGCCATCACCACACTGGAGGCATTTCCTGGCATGTGGATCAATGCTTTCATCATTTGTGTGCTTTGCATTGCCTGGGTCCAAAACAAAACCCTGAACTCTAATGAGAAGATCTTGCTACTGCTGGGATTCTCCAGGTTTTGGTATTTGTGTTTCTCATGGATATATATCTTTGTCTCAGAGATTTTTCCCGATTGCCTTCTGGTCCATCGCATATTTCAACTACTTCAAGGTTCTTACAGCTTTTTTAATTGTTCCAACTTGTGGGTTTCTGCCTGTCTTTGTGGTTTTTATTGTATAAAAATTGCCAATTTCAGGAACAGGTTCTTCAGCTACCTGAAAGTAAAAATTGACAGGATGGTGCCATGGCTTCTGTTGGGGTCAGTGATGTTCTCCCTGATTACTGGAATTCTTTCCCACAACACTATTGATAAAGCTGTCTGTAAAAACCTCAATTTCACCTGCCAAGGAAAAATTTGGAAAGCAACTATTAGAATGAGTGACCATTTTTCCCTTCTTCATGTTCTCACTCTTTTTTTATATATCACTTCCTTCATGGTAGTCATCTTTGCTGCTGTTTTCCTTCTCTTTTCTCTCTGGAGACACAAGTGCAAGATGCAGACAAACTCCCTGAACAGCCTCAGCATGGATGCCCACATCAGAGCCATAAAATCTGTCCTCTCCTTCTTCATAATGTACACCATCAACTTTACGTTTGTGATCTTGAGTCTAGTTTATTCAATGGCATACCAAAGTCATGTGCTATTTCTTGCTTATTTAATTCAATATGCTTATCCAGGTGTTCATTCCCTTATTCTCATTCTCAGCAATCCCAAGCTGGAAAAGACACTGATTAGGATTCTCTCTTGTGTGAAGTGCAAGCTTTGTATGAGGTAGAAACTGTAACAAATGCTGGAGTTCATGCAAAATATGTTTGGAGAAAACAATTTCAATTATTGTTCATTGCAACTCTCCAGGCAGAACAGATTGTAGATAAGTTCAGAGTAGATGTTAAAAAAACACATTTCAAACTCTTTAAACTAATATGAGTAGGAGATAAATGAATTTATATTTGCATTTAATTAAAACAGCTCTTGGAATTACATTATTTTACGTAGCAAAGTCATTTAGACCATGCACAGTTGGTGGAAGCAAAAGGACAACAATCATGCTACAAACCCACCTCAAAAATTTTGATTTTCACTGATTGAATTGACTGAATGAAACAACAGCTTTATCTCAATTTTGGTATATGTTTCCTTCTGCTGTGGCCCTGTGCTGTGGCACATATTATGGGCTGTATGAGTGCCTGGCAGTGGCGGATAGCTCAGTGTGAACACGCTGAGCCCTGACACTCCCCAGAGGTGGTCACTGAGCCACAAAGAGCGAGGCAGGAAAGGCCCCGGGCAGCTCAGGGGCTGCAGAGCCCCCTTCCCACTCCAGCCCTGCGTGTCCTCTGTGCCCCACTGCCTGCAAGGACAGGATTGCCTGCTCTGTGGGACTGCTGTGCTGGCCTGCTCTCACCTGGAGATGAGATTGGCTTTTCCCAGTGCACTCTGGCTCCCTTACAGCCCCAGGAAGGTGGGNAGCAGCCACTGACCTGCCTCAGGCTCTGCTGCCACAGCCCCCTTGGCCAGCACAGCTCTGCTCCCCAGCTCGCACCATGGAAGCTTGTCACCCGCGACAGCAATCCAATGTCACTGCATATGGGGTCTTAACTGTGGCCATCATCACTCTGGAGGCATTTTCTGGGATGTGTATCAATGCTTTCCTCGTTGGTGTGCTTTGCATTGCCTGGGTCAAAAAGAAAAATTTGAACTCTAATGAGAAGATCTTGCTGCTGCTGGGATGCTCCAGGTTTTGGTATTTGTGCATTGCCTGGATATATAAATTTCTTTCCTTTATTTATCCCAATTACCTTTATGTTCAAACCATACTTCAACTAGCTGTATTTTTTGAAGCCTTTTTTAATCATTGCAACTTGTGGTTTTCAGCCTCTCTTTGTGGTTTTTATTGTATAAAAATTGTCACTTTCAGGAACAGGTTCTTCATCTACCTGAAAGTAAAAATTGACAGGATGGTGCCCTGGCTTTTGTTGGGATCAGGGATTTTAGCTTTGGCTGTCGGCATCGTTGCCTATGATGTCGCTGATAAACCGCACTGCAACAGCAATTCCACAGGACAAGGAAATTTTGGGACAGCAAATATCAAAATGGATAAACATTTTTTCCCTTCTTTTTTTCTCGCTGGCTTTGAATATGCTGCTTCATTCATGGCAGTCATCTTTTCTGCTGTTTTCCTTCTCTTTTCACTCTGGAGACACAAGCGCACGATGCAGACCAACTCCATGAAGGACCTCAGCATGGATGCCCACATCAGAGCCATGAAATCTATTTTCTCCTTCTTAGTGGTGTACAGCATCAACTTTGTATGTTTGGTCTTAAAGATGGTTTATGTCACAAAGAAGTTAAATCATATGACATTTCTCATTTTAGTATTTCAGTACATTTTTCCAGGTCTTCACTCCCTTATTCTGGTTTTCAGCAACCCCAAATTAGAAAAGGCAGTGCTAAAAATATTTCCCTTAGAAAGAAGTGTAAAACGCAAGGTTTGCAAGAATTAGGAATAAATATCTGTAATAATAAAATCTGTAGTAATAAAATCTGTAGCTTATGCAAAATGGTAATACTACATTATAGAAAACAAGTAGTTTAATCTCTAATGCAACTTTCTAAGCATTGTACATGATACAAATGTTCTCATCACTGATATTAAGAATATATAATTCAAATACTATGAACTAAATTAATGCTACTTACGCAATATATTTTCAATTATAATTTCATGTAGATAATTATTTGATTTTAATTATTGTCAATAACAAAGTTATTTGGACCTGGTACGGGAGCTGGCTATAATAGGGTAGTTGAAATACTGCAAACTGGCCACCAAATGCTCTGGCATTTTCTGATGGAAACAACTGAAATCAACTGCAGGGTTTCTCTGTATTTTGGTTTACCTTTCCTTCTGTGTGGTATATTATGGGCTGTATGAGTGCCTGGCAGTGGCTGATAGCTCAGTGTGAACACGCTGAGCCCTGACACTCCCCAGAGGTGGTCACTGAGCCACAAAGAGCGAGGCAGGAACGGCCCCGGGGAGCTCAGGGGCTGCAGAGCCCCCTTCCCACTCCAGCCCTGCGTGTCCTCTGTGCCCCACTGCCTGCAAGGACAGGATTGCCTGCTCTGTGGGACTGCTCTCCTGGCCTGCTCTCACCTGGAGATGAGGTTGGCTTTTCCCAGTGCACTCTAGCTCAGTGAAACACCCAAGTTTTGTTCTGAATGAGGGAAACAGCATGAAAAGGGAGTGGAGGAGAAAACTCACTGTGAACTGACTGCAATTTCATTCTCCTTCCCCTGTGCTGCTGTGGAGGAGGAGGTGGAGGAGCTGGAGATGAAGGAGGGAAGTTGAACCTCAGATGAAAGGGTGGTGGAGGCGGCGGGTTCTAGTTTGTGTTTATTTCTCATCCTCCTATTGTACTTTTAGTAGGTAAATAAATTCATTTTCTGCACATCAAGTCTGTTTCATCTGTGACAGTAACTGTTTAATGATTTCACTGTATTTTTCTCGATCCATCAGTTTTCCCATCCTATTTTCCACCTCATTTATGGGTGACAGAGAAGGAACAGCTGGGTGGGCATTTGTCTGCTCCCTGAGGTCAACCCACCACAGCAGGTGAAACATGTAGAATGGAGCAGAACCTGAATTGGTCACTTCTACCATTAGCTCAGGTCCAGAGGCAGATTGTAAGCAGCTCTGCTGGACACATCTCCCCTGTGAGAGACCTTGAAAGGACAAAAAGCCACACATCCCTTCTTCCCCTGCTGCTGCTCATGAACTTCATCCTTTAACATGACAATCCCGACCACTTTCACAGGAAAGCCCTGGAAGGTCCATCTCATACCCTACATCTAGTGCAACATCCATCCCTCCCAACCTCACATGCCACAAGATTCAGCAGGCAAAATCCAGAACCTTGCAAAAATCACCACATAAAACACCACAGTCCCAGTGAATCACACTGCAGATCCCTCCTTCCATCCCCATGAAAATGTGACAGCCAGCACAGAATCCCACTCCTGTGCACCAGCCCCACTCAGCTGGCACTGCAGGGGACAGGGTGTCCATCAGCACAGCCACCCTGCACAGCCCATGGGGACAGATGCAGGATGTGCCCAGCCTGGAGAAGCTGACACATGACAGGTGCCACAACTCAATGGTAATGGCTGCCCCGTGCTGGCACAGTATGGAAAACTGCTCTGAGTCACATTCCAAGTCTTTATGACTGAGAAGTGAAAGTGTTAAAAATGCTTTTGCCATGGGAAGCATTGATGAGCAGAAGCAGAACTCAATAACACTTGCACACCATTTCTATTTGCAGAAACATGAATATGGCTGGGGACAATGCTAAAAAAAGGCAGTGCTCCAGTACCCTTGGTAGTCACAGCTGTCTGAAAGCAGCAAGGAAGGAGCACATTTTCCCTTTAGCTGGGCCAGGAATGGAAGATTCAGGCTGTTGGACCCATGTGTCAAGTGAAATATTAGCATTAATATCTCAGCTTTATCCAGAAGAAGCAAGTACATCTCACTTCCAAGAAATGAGACAGGCATCACCAGAGGCTGCAAGTCCATGTAGAGCCTCCTGGTTGACTCAGTGACAGAAGTAAAGATGCAAAGGCCACAGACATCAGCAGAGCAAGCAGAACCACAATCCAAGATGCTTTTGTGAATCAGGTAGGATCAAGACTATTTTTTCCCTGGCCATATGTGTAACTGCCATTGCAGGAACTCAAAACATTGCAGTGATTTACAGTATTGGTATATTTAAACATATCCTTCAATTGTTTTTATTTTAGAGATCAGATACATAGAAACACACAGAGAGGCTGAAGCTCTTCTAGCTCTTAAGGAGATTATTTACAGTGTGTCTCTAAGGATGGACTCTTGTAGCCTTCTGCTTATTCTGTTCACACAAATATCACACTGCAGATCCATCTGAAGTCTGCCAGTGCCTTTGCTCTGCATTGCAAGTGCTCAGAGGCACCAAACAGGCACCAAACACTATTGCTTCCCCCTTTTCCCCCCATTTTTCTTTAGAATAGAGGCCGTACACTTCTCCCAAAAACATGGTGGATTTTTCTTAAGCTCTTCTTTCTTGAGTTCCCAGTCTTCATCTCTCTGGTCTAAGGGGATTTTTCTCAGTGCAGCTTTCCTGCGGTAGTTCCTGCTCTCCACCTCTGCTCTGGGAGAGAAACCAAGAGTGAGCACAGCACACACATCTCTCTTCACAGGTGCCCATCTGGGGGGTCAGGGGTTGTGTCTCAGTCTGGTCAAAACCCTGATTCCACCCACACTTGAGAAACACCACAGTGTGTCCAGCATGGTGCAGCCCCAATCTACCCTCACAGGGAGCGCCTGGGCCCCAGCACTGCCTGCATCCAGACATGGACATTCCAAGTGTAAATCTTGCCCAAGAGAAGACAAACCCTTTCCTCCTCCTGCAGAGCTCTGATTTAGTAGGCACTCAGGATTCAGAAATCTCTGTCAGAAAAACCATCCAATATCAGGAAAAATCCTTCTTTTCTGTAAGAGAGCATTTCTGTCACATGAGTACAAAGCTGTTCTAGCTGCCAGCACAGAGCAAAGTCAGCAGCTCCATATTGATGGATCTTATCACGTGGGCTTTCCATGTCATAGAATCACAGAATGGTTTCAGCTGGAAGGGACATTATCTCATTCCATACCTTCTGCCATGGACAGGGACACCTTCCCCTAGACCAGGCTGCTCAAAGCCCCACCCAGCATGGCCTTGGACACTTTCAGGGATGGGGAAGCTGCAGCTTCTCTGGGCAACCTGTGCCAGGGCCTCACCACCCTCACAGTCAAAAATTGATTCCTAATATATCTAATCCTACCTACCCAGGCCATTCCCCCTTGTCCATGCCCTTGTCCAAACACATGCTGGTGTTTAAGAGGCATTTGGGCCTTCATAAGATGCTTTAAATTCTGGTCAGTCCTGAAGTGGTCAGGACGTAGGACTAGCAGTAGGTCCCTTCCAACTGAACTACCCTATTGTCTTCTATTAAGTATCTGCTCCCAAGGGCAAGAAACCTTTTTCTATAAACTTTTAAATATAAACACTTATTTATTTATTTATTTACACATGAGTATATATGCCCTGCTCTTAGACAGCAGGACCCTTTGGTACAATTTCAACAGCTGGCCCTTTGCAGAGAGGCTGGCAGCAGACACAAGCTGAGGGTCTCTGTGCCCTTTTTGGCAGGTCTCATAGCATCAAGAGTAAAGCCTTTTTCATGCAAACCAAATCTAATGCAAAATACACATTTGCTATTCAGAAGCAGCTGTTTTGAAAGCAGCTGTTTCCTAACTTTTGCATGTTCATGCAAACCTCAGTGAGTGGTACTGATACTCAGCAGCGGAATATTCCTAATATTTGCAAATTAATAATATTTCCATGTTGATACATGTCATATTTCCATGTGGGTGCAGTCCTCAGCATAATTCAGTGGCCCGGCCCAGGTAGGCAGCTGGCAACACCTGGGGACCAACAAACAGCATGCAAGGGTCATGTGGTGCTAGAGGGGGCTGAATTTGGATTAATGAATTATTTGGATGCTCATAGGCCTATGCAGATATGTACATCAGCCCTACAGTTGGTACAGACCCTCAGATGGTTTTAAAAATTGCCTTTTCTATCTTTTTGCATGACAGGCAAATATCCAAATATGACAGGGATGGTGTATAACAAAATGTTCCTCATATTTATATCCCACATACACGACTGTGTGGAGAGCAGAGATGCTTTGTGCTGCAGAGTATTTTGTGCAAGCACACTTAATTCTCTGTCTCAGGCATACACAGTGCTGCCCTGTACTCTTTGGCACTGCCTGACCCTGGACACCACCTCTGGGACCTTCTGCACATCTGAAGGAGCAGATGGTAATCGAAATAACACTACAAGTGACAACCGGTCCTCCTAGTTTACTCCAAGTTGGCTGATGTGATGCCAGTGTGAGGGTGAAAGCATCCACTGAGGTCATAAATGATAGTGGCTGGTTTTAAAAAGTATTCCTCAGCCTCAGTGATAAACTCATTGCTGCCCACAGGCTGGGTTATGGCCATGAGGTGTTTGTACAGGCTCTGTGTGTGTTCTGGACTGGGCATTTGAAGCATCTTCCAATCATGAGATCTCCCAGCCATGCTGAGTCATGCAGCTGTGGAGTGAGTCAGGCCAGCATATGGTTCTGAAAGACAAGTTTTCCACCTTAAATCATGAGTTTTCTGCCTTAAATCTGAGTCATTCACCTCAGAAAGCCCTTCATCAGCTGACCTGAGTCATCATGGGCTGTTGCTAAGATGTCTCAGACTATGATGTCAATCATTTTGGCAATCAACCTGTAAATCTACCAGGCATCTCTGCCTGCCACAGGCATTGCCCTTTGCCATCATCCAGGCAATTCCCCTGCCCCCTGCTCCTATGGCTCTGGAGCACATCCAGGGCACAGCAAATTCTACAGACTTGGCAGGAATTACTGGTGAGATTAGTGCAAAACAGACAGCATTGAATAGGCAAGGAATTGCTATAAAATTTTCATCCAATGGGCAGAAGTCTGCAGATTTTCACCCTCTGGGTTAGATACTGTTTACCTGTTCTGGTATAGAAACTAAGTGTGCCAAGAGCTGAGAAGAGTATAAAGAGAATCTCCACTGGAAGACAATGCCCCATTCTCAGAGGTCTGGCAGACCTGAGCTTTACTACCCAGACACTGGCTAGATAGTAAAAAAATCTAATTTGCAAAGCTTCATTATCAGCTGCTGGCTGCTTAAATGCCTTTAAACTGAGGGTCTGAGAGTGAGAAGAGCTGATACATCTGTGTGGAAGGAAAGTGGTGAATAGTGGGAGATTACAGCATGTCAGTTCCAAACCCAAAAAGACTTTAGCTCTAAGATGGTCTGGATGCCCTTTTCTGGCAGTGTTCAGCTCTATCACACTGGAAAGGGCTTTGAGCAATCTGATCTAGTGGAAGGGGTCCCTTGTCCATGGAAAGGGGTTGGAATGAGATGAGCTTTAAGATCCCTTCCCACAATTCTATGATTCTGTGTTGGGTGAGCAGGTAAAATGCAAAGCTACTAGCAGCTTCCAACAGCCAGGGTTTGGAAACCAGAGCTTGTGCCTCCACTACAAAAGTTTTCTGGGCTCTGTACAGGGGAATTTTGCACGGTTTGGCCGTCTTTTCTTATGGAAGGACTCTGATGTGTCAAGATAAAAGGTGGGCATGTGGCATTTCAGCAGGAACCAAGCTGAAGAAGTACAGCAGAAGGACAGGAGTACCTACAGAAAAGTTTATATGGATTAATGAAAAGTGGCATTTGTAAGGCACTGGCCTCCTCAGATATTTGCCTGTCACCATGCCTGATTTTGAACTTGGCAGCTTGTGTGCTGCACTGGCAAGCTGGGGATTTGAGCTGGATACATGTCTATTAAAAAAACAAACAGGATATATATGGTACCAAAGCAGTCTTGAGAATGTGGAAGTGGTGCCAGTGAAGAATCATGATGGGACTGTAATGTCACAGAAAAACCCATGGAGAAAACACTTTTGGGAGCTCTCAGCACTCCAGGGTCTGGCACATGTATCTTTCGTGGGCAATGTGTTGAAGTAAAGTAGTGTTGGGACTGTGGCTTGCACTGAACAAGTTGGTTGGCCTCTGGTGATCTGTCCCACTCCTTTAGAGAGATGAAGGATGGGACACAGCTCAAACCTCTGCAGTAAAGCATCCTGATCCAGGGAAACACCTTTGCAAGGATGAAAATACCTGTGAGCCGACCCAACAGCTGAAAAACAGGAATGGTAATTGGGAACCATTAAAAAACATATTTATTATGGCATGTGCTGTCACAGTGCTAACTGTAAGCAATTAAGACAACAAAGATTTTCCCAAAATTTGGAAGTACTATATGACCATCCTATCAAGTGGTCTAATTTACAGTGATTATGTAAAAAATAGGGTGGCTTTTTTTCTTTACTATAAGAAAGCCAAATGATATACATATAAATATATATACACACACAGACACATACACAGCTGCCGAGGGCTGTTCCTAAACAACTAAACCCCTGTATTTGCTATTCACCACTGTAAGGGGTTAACACTTGTCAGTTGTTGCTTTTATTTCAATTGCTTAATAACGGCTCTGCAACATCCTTACAAAAACAATGATGTCATGAAGTGGTAACGATTTTGAAAACATACCAAGGGAAACCGCAGGAGGCAGGGGAATAAAAGAATGTCTTCTCACGGCTTCCCCCTGACAGGCCCGTGTTTGCTCATCCACTACAACTTGTGTGTCAGGGCTTTAGCAGGCTTTGGGTGGGAAGATAAGTAACACACTTTGTGTGTTCTGGTCCTCTGTGGAGCAGCGAAGTTAATTTTCACTGCAGCCGCAGCGAGACCTGCCACCACTACTCACTTTTCCAAGAATCTGGAGCACTCCTGGTGTCCGTAGATCTCCGCGAGCCTCCGGGGAGTGTCTCCGAAGAGGTCGGCCGCATCCATAGCAGCGTGCAGGGAGTGAAGGGCGTGGAGCACCCGCAGCTTGCCCGCCTCGGCAGCGAAGTGCGCCGCGGTCCAGCCCACATCGCTCCGCAGGCAGGGCCGGGCACCGTGACCCACCAGGAGCCTGACCAGGTCCGACCGCCCTGGCAACGCACAGCAAAGCCACGAGAGAAGATGCTTTACAATTTATACCTTCGGGATGCACAAAGGGGTCACACACAGCTGGTCATAATTCCCTCAGACAGGGATTTCACCCACCTGACTATTTGGTTTATCATATCAGGGATACTGAACTGAAAATGCTGGTTATTTTCCCTCAAACTTGACAGTTTCCAGGATAAATTTACAACAAAAACAACAACCAAATCAAAAAGCTTTCTAATTTCTGAACAGCACATCTCAATTAGTCATTGACCAATTGGCTATTTCATTGCTTCATTTTGGTTTTTAGTTCAATTGCAAAATAAAATTTAAATATTGAGAATGGGAAAATCTGTGAACAGCTTTACTAAAACAAAGATTTTTGGATAGCAGGTGGAGAAACTACTGCTTTTTCATTCACTTTCACATTTTTCTAACTAGTGGAATTGCTTAAAGAAGCAAAAAAAAAAAAGTTATTTCTACACCACTTCACACTGCCTTGACTGAGCTAGACTATTCCAAATCACATCTAGGCTCTCTCAGCTTCTCACCATCATTTTTGTTAAGTAGCTCAGTCCCCTTTGCTAATGTTCAAATGCCTAATAATCCATTTGATGCTGGATACATGGTCTTAAGTGTAAAACAGGAAATCACATACTTGATTTCTGAGCAAAGACAGATGTGATGACATGAGATCCCAACAAATACTGTAGCACAGAGAAGTAGAGGTCCAGTTTCCCATTTTACACTGTGTGGAATTATTCATTATTTATTGTTGCATCATCTATTTTTTGGGCTGCAAAGGGATATTTGAGTTTACCAGACACTTCTGAAGGTGAAGGACCAAAGGGGAGCTGCAAGCAGCTCTGGTCCTGCATTGTTCATTCAAAAGGTGGGGATATAAAGAGCAATGTAAAAATGCAGTTATTATTTTGTTCTAATTGGTTTGATAAATACCTGGTGTAAATACAGTGGGTTTGATCTCCTGCTTATTCCCACAGGTGTACATGAGAAATAAACTCAGGGAGTCATCTCTTAGAAAAGGGGGGAAAAGCAGCCATTCCCTATGTGTACATCATGTAAATTGCAAATTGTTGTGTGATGGAAGCAAAAAAGCTAAAAATCAGTTTAACAGCAGTCTCATAAACTATTTTGTAGGTAAAGTTCCCATTTAAATGTATATTTAACTTTTTTTTTTTTTTTTTGCACATTAGGGACAAATTACCAAACACAAGCTGAGATTTTGCCAGCCTAGATACAATCACAGGTGATCAGCATCACCTTTTATGATGTCCATTCACAGAGGTAGCAGAGCTGGGGGTGCCCTTACCTTTGGCAGCAGCCCAGTGCAGGGGGGTCCTGCCATGCCAGTCAACATCCTTCTGGTTTGGGTCACAGCGCCCTGCCTTCAAAATCTTCTTCACCAGGTCATAGTCACCCACAGCCACGGCTTCATGGAGCTCTGTCATGCTGCAGGAAGGCACGTGGAGACAGAGATGGTCATTCAGTGGTGTTCACTGATGATCAGCTCCTCTCAGCAGCTTCAGTAGGTCAAGCAGCACCTGGATTAAAAATGAGACAGGTGCCATGAGAAACCAAGATTTGTGCAAAAAACAGGAAAAAGGAATGATGGGGGGGAAAAAAAATATCTTCAAACCAGTGATCACGAACTGATGGTGAGTTTTGGTCTGTAGACACAGAAATCTGCAGCAAAGTGCAGTCCTTTATATGAAGGACTTGTAGCTAAAGCCACATTGAACATTTGCCACGGGTTTGTTGTGCTCACTAACCATGGGAACTGGCTCCTCCCTTGCCAGTGCTACAGCATTACCGGTAGCATTTTATTGCAGAGAAAATCAGAAACAGAAATATCTATGCAAGCATCCTCTGACGTTCTTTAGTGAAAATGATAAAAAGGGATAATAATAATTAAGCATATAAAAAGAGATGATAGGGCAAGGTCTTAAACTAAGATTCATAGCCTGTTTCACACCTGGGTGGTTGGACTGTGTAGATAAGATCCAAAAGAAAGACCCATATTTGTCTTCTACTGAGTTTGACTCCTGCACATCTGGGAAATCTGAATATATAAAGAAGAAAATTAAATTTTGGAGCCCCTAGTGGGCCAAAGAAGTATCATGGGATCTCTGTTACTCTAACCACCTGTGTACTGCTTCCTCCTCCTCATTGTCTCTCACTTACCTTGAAGAACCTGTTCCTTTAGATGAAAAAAAGATCTTCTGACTTGTTCTCCAACACCTTTCACCAGCATCAAATCTATCCTGAAAATGTCAAACTTTAATGCATCCAGCCCATCACTGAAATGAAGTCTGGACAAGAGTACAGGAAAAAAAAATCTTGGACCTTTTCATACAACTTTCGTACTCTTTTGCAGCTTCACCTCATACCCATACTGTTAGGGAAGGGAAGCTGCTGATCCCAAGGCAGGAGCTCAGCAGCTCTCCAAGGGGACAGTCCACAGAGGCAACTTCATGAGCAATTTAAGCCAAGCCAAATTCTACCTCCCTTGCTGCCTCCCTTTGCTAGCCTTGCAGCTCATAGGGGCATTTCACAGCTGCTGATCTCTCACAAAATTAATCTTTTATTGCTGGTGCTAAATTAATCTTTTATTACTTCAGGTGAACTCCCTGCATTCAGCATTACTGAGGGGGCAAACGCCAGGACTATGCAAAGCAGGGTGAGTACAGATCTGCCCCACAGGTAGGAACCTGTGCTCAACTCCTCTGCAGCCACCCCAGATGTCACACCCAAAGTGGGATCTGCCTCCCTAGACTGTGGTTATCCCTTTTATAAGGACACAGGAAAAGATTTGTATTTTTACAGCACAACCTTGAGCCAAAGCGCCGTCCCGCGCTGCTCACCCGGCCACAGGCATTGCAGCTCCTTCACGGGGTGTTGCAACCCATCCGGGGGAATTTTCCCTCGGGGCTCCTTCTGCTTGAGCCAGCCCCAGCCGGGAGATCCAGAGCTCACACACAAGGAGCCCGCACATGACTCTGTCCCTGCCGTACCGGGGCACGGCCCAGCACCTCGGCGGCCGGGGGCTCCGCCGGGACGCGCAGGCAGTGCTGGGCATGCCTCCACGGCAGAACTTTGTTTTCCAGGCCCAGGGAGGATTTATCTCAGAAAGATTGTCTCAGCTGGAAACTAAGGCAAAGTTTGGTCCCTCCCCTTCGGGGAGAGCCCGGCAGTCGCTGTGCCTGCGACAGAGGCGGCGTCCTGAGGGAGCAACCGCTGCTCGCCCGGCTCCGGAGGGCCGTGGGTGGCCAGAGGGGACATCCCGCTCCTTGGGACGGCGGGACGGGAGCGGGGGGCGGCCGGGACACCGCACAGCAGGTACGTGAAGCCCCGCAAAGAGCAAAAAGAGGATCTGGGGGGAGCACGGGAGGAGCAATGGTGACGTGAGGGGAATTTTAAGGAGTTAATTTCTGCGCAGCACCTCACGCAGTTTCACTGCTCGCACTCCCTGTGCCCAGCCCTCAAGGGATCGCGCTCCTCTGGGGCTCCTTATCCAGCCCCAAATCCCTGCGGAAGGGTGGGAGTCACTCCGGGTAACGGGGTGACAGGGGTGACAAGGACATGTCGCTTCGCCTATCCGTGTGTGGACAGCATTCAGGGAAATATAACCCGCCTCAAACACGGCTGTGTCAGCGTGGGGATGGGACGGAGCAGTCCCAGGCTGCAGCAGGGGAAACTCCGACTAGATGGAAGAAGAAAATATAATTTACATTGAGGGTGATTAAAGTGTGCTTCAGGTGTCCAGCACTGAGACATGCAGACCTGAGGCAGCCCCACGTGCGCCCTGCTTTGAGCAGGGGTTTGGATTAGGTGACTTCCAGCGTTCCTTCCCCACCAACATTCTTCGGGGAAGCTGAGAGGGCCAAGGTGTAGGAGGTTTGAGAGCTCTTCCAGCACGGCATTCACCTTCTCCAAACCCAGCATCCCCATACATGCACGGGACCCTGTGCCCCAGCTGCTCTTGGAGCTGGTGTGGAGAGAAGGTGCTTTTAGGACGTGGCTCCCCTGGTGTGTTTCAAGTCCAAACTCAGGTACAAGGGACAAGTTCAGGACTGCCATGTCAGCGACACGGACCCGCCGGGTCAGCCTGGCTGCACTTTACCCTGTGACACAGCCATTCTCAGGAGCTGGTGGCCCCTCTGGGTAGGGATTGGGGTGGTGGTGCTGCCTGGGCTTGCACTCACCAACCCTACTGACGTGTTCACAGCAGCCCAGAAACTGTGGTGATTTACTGCTGGGGACATGTGGGATCAAACTGTGGTGACACCCTGCTGGGGACACACGGGATCCCCTAACAGCAGCTCCAGAAGGAATGGGACATGCTCAGATCTCCGTCTCTCATTAATGAGTAACCTCCCCTTTCTCTGCCTGCTGGGAACAAAACACTTTTTGTCTTCAAAATCAGCTGATACGAGGGAGGAAGAGACTGCTGTGCTTGCAGAGAAGTGAGAGGGGGTAGTTCCCAGCAGGCAAGTTTCCTGCTACAAAGTCCTGCTGCAGGCCTAACAAACAGTGGGTCAGAAAAGATGCTTCACTGCCTAAAATGGTGTATTTAAAAGCAGGGACAAGAACAGGGGCTCTCATGTAAATGTTGACATAACTCTTAAGATAATAATCCCCCAGATTCAGTGAATATTGAAATGTTTTGGCTTCTGGGATAGGGACTAAGGTGATCCCATTCCCTAGTGATGAGAAATGGGAGTCTCCAGGGTCAGATCTGAGAGGGGATGTATTTAAAACCTTATTCAGAGCTCAAAAAGGGGACAGTGATGCTTCCATCTGCTATGGGGTTTCTTAGTGGGGAGTGCTGCAGACATGAGCATAGGGAAGTGCCCTTCAGCAAGGCTGGGAGGCCCTGGACTAGCCCAGGATATAGGACCATCACCCAAAAACTTGGGAATTGCCCAGTTCCACCTTTGTTTCTCAAGCTCCATTCCCCATCTTGAGAAGGGGGATGTACCATCCTTCCTCAGCCCCAAGGCTCTTGGTGATGTGCTGTCAGTGACTGACTGAGGTCAGCATTAAGCCACACCAAAATGTCGATGGATGCAGCCTTGAACACATGCAGCATTCTTGTTTACTGGGAAAAAAATGGAGCTTAGATCAGTGAAAAGCCACACATTTGCATTTCAGTGACAGCCTCAGCTTTTTACACACTGCAGCACAAAAGGCGTCAGTGTGAAGGACTCCTTCCTTCAGCTCCCCCACATTCCTCAGGCTCAGCTTCTCTGCTTTGGCAGCCTTCAAATAAAGGGAAAGCCAAGGTCAGGAGAAAAAAAAAAGAGAAAACACAAAAGGGAAAACAAAGGACAAATAAAAAAAAAAAAAAAAAAGAGAAAAAAAACAGAGGAAAAAGTAATCCCCTCGAACCTAAAACCAAAGGCCCTGGTAAAACCTCCTTTCCTGCTGCCCACTATCCAAGTGAGAGCTCCTGCCTGGAAACTGCTCGCTGTTTTCCAATGGCTTTTGCACTTCCCAGACCCCCCCTGCAGCCCCATTCTTCCTTTCTGGAGAAGCTGGTACCCCTGCACCCCCCAGCTCCTGGGACAGGCACATATGGAGGTGGCATTTGCCAAGTTTTGTCAGGCATGGACTGAGTTTGCCCCATCACCAGCACCACCATCCTCTGTCCTGCAGCAACAACTTCCCACAAGACACATGGAGATGCTGGGGCACCTGAGGAACACCAAGCCCACTTGAGAAGGTACAGGGAAGAAGCACAGTGACACCCAGGACCCCATCCTGTTACTCTCACATGCAAAGTTCTCCTGCTGCAAGTCCCTGGAGCACTGAAGGGGAGAGTTGGAAGGACCTGGCCCAAAAAAGGGCAATGTTGGATCATATCCTCATGCCAGTTTACACAAGACCATGGAAGCTCTGCCAATTTTACTGACATTGGATCAGCCTTGGAATTTAACAAAAGCCTCCATGTTTATCCAAGTGTTGGGAAAGGCTGTAGGAGCTGCTTCCTGTGCCCTTTCAATCCTCAGCTCCAGAACTGCTGTGGGAACCACCCAGCAGTGGCCACAGCATGTCAGCTCTGAAAAACAAACCCAAACCCAGGAACTAAAGGCAAAACCACGGTGGAACACAAGGAAGGAAGCCATTATTTCCCTGGTTGTCATCATCAGCAGGAATTGGCTGTGCTGCTGGAACTTCCATTTTATCTGTTTATTGTACTTGAAGCGGACCCAGCTCTGGTCAGGGACGTGTGAGGTGTTAAAAACTGAGGAGCAGGACGCTCATCTCAGGTCTCAGCTACTGTACAACCAGCACAGTTAAGAAATTCCAGACCTAAAGCACACAGACATATAAACACACAGCCTGATTTCTCAGAGAATGTAAAAATTTGATTTCCAGTACCATAGGAAGAGAGCAGGGGTGATGGATGCTGTTATCCTACATATTTCTAGGAAAATCAATTCCCAGTGCTTAACAGTCTACAGCGTTATTTCTCTTCTGCTACAGATGCTGAATGATAAAAAGTAGGTTTCAAACAAAAGGAATGGGCTGATGATATAAACTGCAGAGGCTGACAGGCTGGAGCTTTGATATTTCCTTTTCTACAGTTCCTCCAAGGGCTGGACACACTGGGCAGAGCAGGAGTTCAGCATCTCAGTACTAAAATGCCCTGCACAGTAACTGTGCTGTTACTTAAATTCCTTCCAAAAGAGTAAAGCACAGCAGAAGCACTGCTTTAACCTGCACCTGAATAAGGCACCTTCTAAATTTCCCAAGAAATGATGGCACTGTTCTAGAGGAAAGGGAAGCTGGGAAGGTCTTTAAAAGTCAGGCTTCATGTGTGAAACTTTTTTTCAGGTTGCATTTCTTACAGCAAGATGCATGCTCTACGAAAAAGGTTAAGATGTTGTTGAGGTTATGGTTACTGAAATAAATTCAGGTACAAACAACAGTAGTAGGCAAGTGGTTTATCCACCTGTTTAATGTCCTTTTCTTAATATCTACTATTGCTTTATTAATTGTTCTGCTTAATACAGCGGGCTTATGAGATTGGGAAGAAATGTAAACATTCTGTTTGCCTTATAAAAGCCTGACATATTTGGTTACAGATTATGGTCATGCAGTATCTCCAAAACATACCTCGTAAATACTTCTTCTGTTCAAAAAAGCCACACTAAGGCATCCACATCCAGAGCTTTGACAGTAGCTGCACTCCAGCTCTTTGGATTTGGGATGGACAGTCACAGCTCTGCTCCTAAACCTACTGCCAAATCCTTTCATAGCCCCAGGTAAGGGAAAGAGAGCATTCCTAGGATAAACATTTTACAACTCAGTAATAGCCTTCTAGCTATTAAAATAAAACCAGACTTACAGAAGTTACATAAAAGCTTAAATTAAAAAAAAAGTTCAGAAAGGTGACAAACAGGGCTTACTGGATCATTTAAAAATCAGAATAAACTCAGAGAAACTATATCATAAAGCAGTCCACACATTTCTTCACCAACTAAAAAAAATCCAACAGTTTTATTTTTGTTTTTCTGCTTTTTTATCAAAAAGGAACAAAGTTCCCAACAGCCCCTGGCTAATGTACTAAATGCAGAAGTTTCCCCAAATCTGCAGTTATGGTTACACCAGCTTTTGCTCCAACACCTCCCAGTTAGATCCTCATCCATAAATGATGCATAATGGTAATCTGGAACCCCACATAGCAAAGACACAACTCAAAGCATCAAACTTCCCTTCACAACTACACATGACAATAAAGTTTTTTGTTTTGTTTTTAATTCCGTTTTTGGCTAAAACTTTTAACAGTTCCAGAAACATGGTATTTAGTCTTCTTGTTTACTGCTGGCCTGCAGAAATCCCCTCCTTATTCCTTGATATCAAAAGAAAACGCTTCCAGAAGTAACTGATTCCTGTGCATTCAACTGATTCCTGTGCATTCAACAGCCAAAGGAGGAACCAGAACAACCTCTTGGAAAAAGGGCAGTGAAGCAGCTAAACTCAGTCTTTAAACAGTTGATCAGCTTGACTTAAAACCCCTTCCAGCAGCTGCTGTTAAGCTGCCAAGCACTTAAGCCTAACTAAAATCCTCTCCTGCAACTGGGTAGAGACTTTTCCAAGCACTTCTGCTTTATGGGATGTAAGGATGATGGAGATGCACATTTAAGGAAGAGGGAGCTGGGCACGATGATGGAGCTGAGATGTGTCCTGGGGTGATGCTGGTATCCCCATCTGTCTCGAGCACAGAAATAAGTTCTGCACCTTTAGATCTGAGCGTGAAGCGGGGGAGAAGAAAAATCTGCCCTAAACCAGGACAGCTGCCAGAGATGATGATGGAGCTGGGCCACTGGATGTATTCTTGAAGCAGTGGATGTGTAAAGGTTGTTCCTCTGAATGGATGAATGGAACCATCAGCTGTGAAAGGGAGCCAGGAGCAGGTCAGCACGACACTGGATGCGCACAGTTTCCTTCTGGCTCCCTTTGCAGGTGTGCGAATATCCCGTGGTGGTGTTATCGGTGAGCGTGTCCTGTGAGGCGTGGCAGGCTTAGGCGGCCAGGTCGAAGTCGTCACGCTCCTGGTTGTAGTCGAGCACCTTCTGCCGCAGGCGCGACGCGTCCACCCAGGTGATGAAGTCCTCGACGGCGCGG